TAGAATACGTGCAAATTTCGTTGGATATGAGTTGGAATTTTACGGATTCACGATAAATTTGCTGCTTTCAGATGCTCTTCCGAAACTACAACGACATCCTTCTACCCATATTCAAGCCCGTCTTCCAGTCGATGGTTGTGAGTGAGAAGGTGAGAGATCGTCGTTTCGCGGCTGAATTCTTTGCTGGCATCATTCGTGGCTCACGCTATTGGACATTCGAAAAGTTGAACGCAATGTGGCAATGGATTGGACCAATCCTAGCGAGTGCTTTCGAGGAGTTGACACCGGATTCGTTCGCGAATTGGGTGGAGGCACTTCAGGTGAGATGGTGTGCGATCTGCAATCCTTCGCTAAATTGGATGGTCTGCAATCCACGTCACCGAATTGCTAAATTGATTCTTATGACTAGTCGTTATAACAATCTGTAGATGACTGTTCGCTCGGATCGTTATCACCTGTAACGACTAGTCTATTCTCAAAAAACGAGTATTCAGTGTTGATATCCTCTTCTTTTAAGTCTTCACTTGAGATTCACCTATATCTCATTCAGTTTCGTGAACGTTTGATGGTATTGTACAATGTTTTGTATCTTCTCTGATATATTGTTTGAAACTTTTATTCGTTACATTGTCATAATATCATTTTCAATTGCAGATTATCTTTGCTGGCTCAGATCTGAACCGCTATCCGTGGCTTATTGAGACACTCCTCAATGTGTGTCTAAAACCGATCACTAGTCCGGTTCAGGTGGAGATGTGAGTTGCTGAATAATCAATCACTGTGTTTGATATGCCACCAATATCTGATTTTTATGTCTATGAGCGTTTTGAGCAAGTTTCTGAAGATGTTCAACAAAGTAATTGAAATGACCACCAATGTGTTGCAGTCGCTTTTCATTGCTGCTTGCTGCGTCAAGTGCTGGTGCATGGCGTGGAACTGATATTCACAATCGTGCTATGATTATCACGCAGCAGTTCATGTCGATGCCGTATGTGGCTGGACGAGAAGTAGTTGCAAAGTAGGCAATTGAACTTTTGAAATTACCACTTAAAACCCAGTTACTCGATTAGACAGTTACTAGTTAACATTTTACTGTTGTCTGGTGTTGAATTATTTGATCTTGTTTGGCTGTCATATCAACTGGTCCTTTTAAATGGTGAATGTAACCTCGACATCGGAACCTCTTGACTGGCCTCATTACTAGAATTCACTTTTAGAATATACTCCAACGCATGTTTCCTGGATATTAAAGGATTTCACACGGATAAAGCAGTTATTCCTCCAAGATTCCATCACATCACAATCGATCTTGTGATCGCAAGCTTTCAACGTTTTGTAAGTTCAATGATTCCTTGAACTGATTCCTTGAATCGCCTGATCTACTCAACTGATCAAAGCTTGTTGTCATCAATGTATCGTGGAAAGGCGAATGACATAGAGCAGTTCATCTGGTAAATATGTTTCAGGTGAGTATACTATGGAACGAAACCATGACTGTTGATGAAAGGTTCACGAAAACAGTTGAATTTATTGGTGAAGAGAAACCTGAAATCAAACAGGTCAGTTGATTTTGAGCTGTTTGATCAGTTGAGAACGGGACTGAAAACTATAATAAATCCTTGAATGAATTTATAATGAACGGAGCTGTTTTCAAAAAATGTTCGAAGAACTAACAATCGTTTAAAAACTGCTTAATTCAGGCAAAAATTTATTTCAAAGCACTGATGCAATACTTATTGTGGAATTTCAAAGCAAATTTTGCGGTCGTACGTCGTTCGGTTTTCTGTCTTCTGCCATTGTTGGCGCATTTCGAGAATGATTCAGATCAAGAACTAGCACTGTTATGTTATCAAAATTTGCATATTGGTCTATCAAACTCGGTCATCGATGAGGGCGATGCCACCTTTGTGATGGATGTCATCGAAAAGGTTTTTGATTCACATCAGTTATGGAAGAGCGTTAAAAAGAAATTCTTTGGATGAACGAAATTATGATAGAAACTGTGATTCTTCATTGTCTCATAGAGAAACACTCAGTCAAAATTTGAAATCATAAGCATTCAAAAGCTACAGTGCATGACAGTTGTTCTTGGCGAGAAGATCGTTTTTGCGCTCGGGAAGTTCCTCGTAAGCAAAACTGGCCTCTCACAGTTGTAGTTGGGTTTAATTGATAAAACGCGAAATCCAAATGGAAAGTCGTATATCATTTCTTCAAGCCATTCGACTCAAAATCATTCTTGTTTTCAGACGATGCACTATAGTAGGTCATGGAAATCGAAAGTTTCCCTGCTGAAATTTTGTCAAGTATTAGTGTTTTCGAATTTATTCGTTTTCGAAAACTACGATCGTCCTCAAAAAATTCTCCAGCTGATCAACTATCTTATCACTCACCCACAAGTAGAGGTACGGCTAGCAGCAGCCGAATCCATTGCTGGATTTATACAATGTGGTTATTTCTCTGTCAGTCCAAGCTTCATCGTAAGTTTTTCATATTAATATTCATTTCAGTCGCAATTCAGTTAGTATTCAAGAGTATTCATGTCGTTTGAGCTTTGAGCAATTTGATACGTTCGTTTGATCGCTCCTGTGGAAAGAAGTCGTATTTCAGGCGTATTACCGTAAACTCGCAAGTGATTCCAATTTAGACAACAAGCATGGTGGAGCGTTGGGTTTGAGTGCTGTCGTCAAGGTTATTGTCTAATTACTCTTCATACTTCTGTTAACTTTACCACTCAAGTTGTCGTTTTTTAATGTTCATCACTGATTCTGTCGCGTTCAAAAATTCACTCATGGTGATGGTAATGATATAGACCGAACAAATTCATTTAGCAATATCAACAATTTGCATTTTCAGTATTATTCTTCTTTTCTAGTTGTAAGTGCTTTTTTTAAAATGTGGTGCTAATCTCTATTCTGTTGTAGGGCTTCCCATATACGGTACCAGATTTCATTCCTGGATTACTTATCGATATTTGTAGAATAATGACAAGACGAGTCGAAAAACTTGTGAAGGTGAATCGATGTCTCATTTCAGTTGTTGATGATATTCAGCTTATTTTCATTTATTCGATCAGCACACACAGCTTACGAGTTTATCTCCTTGATATCACGAATATCACATTCCTCTTTCGTCCACATCCTCCCTTTCATCCGTGATGTAGGAATGGTGTAGGAAATCGTCCATCTTCGTGAAATTCTGATCGCGACTATTGATTTGGCGATGACAGAAAAGATCAAACCTCTAATGAGTATCATCCTCCTATGATGTTCAGCTTATCAACGTTATATCCATCAAATTGTGCGAGATGAGTTGTGCATTTGTAGAATTTCTGTGAATTCGCGAAAAAATTCCTGCGAAAAAAAAGTTTCTTGGCATTGTTTTGACAAAACGAATGAATTTATATGTGCTTTTAGGAGAGTCTCAAGGAGTTGTTACGTGAATTTCGACGAACGCATCAAGATAACTGGGATGAGCATAAGAAATGCTTTACATTTTCACAACTCAAAAGTATCAACAATCTATTGGTGTCGCCAAATTATTACGTGTGATTCAGCGCCAAGGCTCACTTCATTATGTGATCCGTTCATGAATACGTATGCTAATCAATGCAGTCATATGCTCAAATCATCACAACAGCTAATGTGCATTCTATTCGCTTGTCTTTCATATTGTTGTACGTGAAATTAGGCGGAATTCAAATAAATTTTCACAAATATATCCATTCATTCGACAGATTAACTCTCGCATTTCACATTTCGTAGTGATGGTGCGATTCAAGGTGCAGCCAGCAGTCGAACCATCTGGCCGTTCAAGCAAACCTAGAAAATCCTGGCGAAACATGTCTGGAAACGGTTTAATGACGGTTTTCTGCTTGTTACGGTTAATAAATTTGTTAGGAGATCAAAAATTGTCAGCAATC